CTACACCCCATGTGTGTGAGTGAGGTATGATGGGAGCTTTGTTATCAGCAGGGGAAAGGCAACGTTTGGTCAAGACCTTAGTAAAATAAGCTGGGGGGGATCCAAAGATAACTGGGGCACTATGTGGTTCTCCCATCAGATTCCAGGAGCCTTCCAGGGAAGACTTTCTGACTGACTGACTGTTCAATCAAGGGAACAGGTTTCACAGGAGAGAACGTGTCTATGTATATTTATGTGTACTACGCTTACACGGAATAATGATCCTCAGGCTTCTGGATGTGCCAAAGTGTTCTGGCCCATCTAATGTCCTAAAGCTGTGGCCTGAGAGCAAATCAGCCCTGGAAAAGAACAAGCCCAAAACATGGGTGGTTTCTATTCTTAGAGTTGAATTTCTTAAAAGCACAATTAGAATTTTTGTACATGATTGACCACTGGGGGCTTTTATTTCTCATTCTTGAGTTTTTGTAGATAATGCAAACACAAGTATAGATGGGTGACAAATTCAAGGAAAAACCTGAATAAATGAGTGGTCTCCTCCAGGATGACAGTGCCTGCATCCATAGGGCATGGGGAGTCACTGAATAGTGTGATGAGTATGACTGAGTCATATGCTCTGGCCAGATCTCAACCCAGTTGAACACCTGAGAGAGGATATCTTTTGGAAGAATGGTGTTCATCCCTCCAGGAGAGTTCAGAGACTTGTAGAACTAACGCCAAGGTGCGCGCACTGAATGTGTTCTGGTGTCACGTGGTGGCTCAACACCTCAGTAAGACATATGTCAGTAAGGCCTCATTTGTTCAGCCGCTCTTCTCTCCATCTTCATTGTGCAGATATGCAAAAGAGCTCCACTCCGCAAAGAAGTAGTGCAAAAAACCTGAGTGCATGAATGATGTAGAGCTGATACAACAGAGACAAACAAGGGGTGAAATGAAGGTGATGTAGTTTCTAATCACACTCTCAGTGTTTTAGAGTGCCCAGTCAAACAAATCTGCCTCATGTATTTCTCAGTGAAAACAGCCTTTCAGGACTTTACCTCTGCCAATTTAAATAGGCCACAAATGACGGAGCAACCATGTAAATGTTTGCCAACTGAGAAATTATCACACACATCAATCAAACTCTGCATGCACATGTTCTATGAGTGCACCTTAGATGTGTAAGCAAAGACACAAATGTACAAACAGTAGGGATGAAGTCACTGCTCACCAGTCTCATGATGCCTATGGAGCAAAATGCCATGGCCACGTTAATTGTGCACTCATATTACACCAAAATCTTCTATGTATTTGCTGGGTACTTTGCTAACAAACCAAACACAGATGAGTATGTACCTGTGGCTACTGTAACTCTGGCCCGTATTAAACTTTGCAACTTTGTGGCATAATGAAACGTTCAGAAAATATTTGATGACATTTCTAAATCTCTTAGGTTCAAATTTATGGCTTAACTTGCTTTTATCATACTCAGAGGGTGCTGTTACTAAAAGCACCATATGTGAAACACTGGCCAGTTGGCCAGACAGCTGAGATAAGTTTTAAAAAAGTGCTGAAGTTACAGAGAACAGAGTGAATGTTGAACAGGAACAAGTTTTCATCCCTAGAGATCTGGAATAAAGACAACACTGGTTATTGAATGGTGGAGACCTATTAGGGGTGGGGGTCTGATTATTCCACCAAGGGAGAGATTAGTTGCCCTATTTATGATGGGTAGCTTCACCTGAAATAATGTTATATAAATCAGTTTAAAGGATTACAGCAATATCAAGACCCTTTCTCCAAAAGTGCAAACTTTACAGATATCAATTCAATAATGCCAAATAATCAATATAAAACTTCATTTTAATGGCAGTTTTACAAGCATAATCATTTAAGACTGTAACAGTAGGACCTCCACAAAAGCAATTAGAGGCAGCACATGACAGACTGATGGACGGACATGGAGATCATTAAAAGACAGTAAAGGCAAAGAGGAAATCGTAGGCTCAAAGAAATTAAATGAGTGGGTGAGTGGCAGAAATCTGGACCGAGATTTGCTTTGAGCTTTCACAGCTGGTGTGAAGCCATGCACACTCCTCTCCCTCTATTGTCCTGGCATCACTTCTGAGGAGAATGAGGTAGAGATCTCTTAAAGGCTTGATTCACTACTTACTAAAGTTGGCAGGTCAGAGACTTTGTGACGTGTCCACCACCACACCAAAGACCCAGATCCAGACCACGAGGGCCTGGTGGAAGGAAGAAGCCCACACATTGTTGA